GTTTCCTTACACGGTGGGTGAGCAGGCAAATAAAAAATGCAATTTGCAGCAATGTCCGGTTTCCCAAATGTAATCGGTGCCATTGACTGCACTCACGTTGCTTTAAGGGCATCCAGTGTGAATGAAAGTGCATTCTTTAATCGAAAGCACTTTCATTCCATTAATGTCCAAATCATATGTGATGCGAACATGCTGTTAACGAATGTAGTTGCTCGGTGGCCTGGGTCAACCCATGACGCCTTCATTTGGCGTAACAGCAGTGTTGGCCGCAGACTTGAGGCCGGAGCTGTGCGTGATGGCTGGCTTTTAGGTAAGAATGATTAATGTAAAACTCCTAAATAAATAATAATGTATATATGCTGCATTATATGACCTATTTATCAACCCTACAGGTGACAGTGGATATCCCCTCAAGCGGCGGCTGCTCACCCCATTCCACAACCCGCAGAACGCAGAGGAGAGACGATATAATACTGGCCACAGCCAGGCACGAGCTGTGGTAGAGCGCAGCATAGGGCTGCTAAAGGGCAGTTGGCGCTGCCTCGATGCCACACGAGGCAAACTGTTACAAGCCTGACAAGGTGTGCCAAATTGTGAGGGCGTGTACTGTGCTTCACGATTTGGCACTGCTAAACAATGTCCCATTACCCCATGAGGCTGCTTGTGCCCAAGACGAGCTCGACCCCCCTCCCCAGGCATGGGCGAGAAACCCTGGTGGACTGCAACAGCGTCTGGATGTGATGCGTCACTTTTAAAACAGACAAAAAAAAGGTATGGAAACAACTGCCAAATCTTTTAAAGAAGTGCTTATTTCAGCCAACACATGACGAAGTTGTCCCAGCTCTCTTGCAACCTTGTGTATTGCAGCAATTGTGTCCCTCTGCATCTGCAGGACTGCATCAGTGAGGACACGGCCGCTGCTGGAGGGCTGTGCAGGAGGTGCCGTGGAGACGCCGGGGCTCAACGCAGGAGGTGCCGTGGAGACGCCGAGGCTCGACGCAGGAGGTGCCGTGGAGACGCCGACGCTCGAGGCAGGAGGTTCCTCGGTACACTGTCCCCCTACCCCGCTGGAACCAGCATCTATGAAAAATGATTTAATAAAGTTATGATTTGTTTTTCTAAATACACTTATTGTTTTCTTTACATATGGCTACCAGCAGATATCACACAAGTTGAATGCATTTGGTTTACTCTCATTTCAAACACGGGTATATAAATGTGGTTACCTGGTTCATCCGGTGCAACCTTAACATCGGTGTCCCCATCTGCCTCCGTCACCACTCCACTCAGCAGGGATTCACCGATTATACCGGCCAGCCTTTCATCCATAGGGGTGAGCTCCGGTGCCCCCTTTCCCCCTCCCGTGGCACACACACTCTGCCTGTGTGAGGCCAGGCGTTTTTTGGCGTCCACCTTAATGTCTGACCACTTCTTTTTTATTTCCGCGACAGTGCGACCCTGTGCTGATGCAAAGTTGACAGCATCTGCCACATGCTGCCACTCTGTTGCCTTTTTGGCATTCGTTACGCCAATACTATGGCCACCAAACAAAATGTTTTGCCTTGTCTCTACTTCTCCGACAAGGATTTCAACTTCACAGTTGTTGAAGTTTCTTTTCTTGCCTCTTTTTTCGCTCTTTGCCATGTTCGTTTTGCCTGAAATCGGTTTGATGAATACTCATTATGGGCGTATCAATGACTATTTATAGGCACATATGGGTGTGACGGGAAGCCCGCAAAAGCTGCACCGTATTTCGAGTTGATTGGGATTTATAAAGGGAAACCGGCGTAGGAAGTGCCATACGCACTTTCCTCGCCGGTACGCAATGTTTGGTGAATCTGAAAGTGGCGGAAAATGTATGGACCTATTTTTCGGATTTCTACTACGTAAGCAACCTTCCCACGTCAATCCTACGCACGGCGTTATACATGAGGCCCCAGGTCTGGGTTAGATGGATCGGCTGAACAAACCCAGGACTCTCACACAGGGCTAAGATATGGATTTACAACATAATTATTGGGATGACTATTGGTGTTTTCACAAAATATTCAAACACTGAGATTTTTGATAAATAATAATAAGTAATGTGGATATGATGGGGAAATGGGTAAAGGTAATTTACATAATTTACTGTAATGCAGTCTTTAAAATTAGGAAAACATGTGGTTTTATGATATCCAAAATGTAAGTCAATACCTAGTCTCGTATCACTATATTGACATAATATCGATAGTCAGCCCAACTTTGACCGAATGACGTCTTTTTGTGCCCTGTGTGAAAGCAAAAGTATTTCGGTTACATCATATAACATAACAAACATACTTCCTTTAACCGAAACATGATCTTTTACAAAGTAGTTTTGTTGCAATTTTGTAGGAATTTGCGATACAGGGTTCAGAATCAGGCTATGTTCGGTTATTAATGTAATAAAGAAGCTTTAACATTGACCAAGAGGAAATTAATTTGGACCAGTGCCAGAAGGACAAATAAGTATTTAAGCAGCTGGACATGAGCTAAACGTTCCTCTTCCATAAACAACAGAGTGTATTCAAGAAATTAGGAGTCCTGATCTGACACAGGCCAGTTAAAGCTTCTCACCGAACACACTCCAACAGCCTCTTCTCTTTTATTTGCCTTGGTTAAAGCAGAGTATTTTTCCCAGGGGCTGACTGGACACCGTGGGAGTGAAGGAACTCACTGTGGTAGCTCAGTGGCTCAGTGTTTGTCTCCAGGATGCCTGTTAGGTTTCCAGGGTAGTGGGAGTCTGAGCCAGGGTTGACCCTGACTTTCTCTTTGGCTAATTCCCTGTGCAGCTGATAGGCTGCGGGACGGGGAGGCAGCGGATCCTCCAGTCTGAAAGGTTATGGGAAGGGGAGGTGGAGGAAACTCGGAAGAATGGAGTCGGACAAAGTCACCAAAAAAAGATTCTCCTCTGCATTTAGATGAAGTGTTTGAGTTTTTGCAGAGACTTAAGCCAAGTCTCATGTTTGGCTCGACTCGATACAATTGACATTTGGTGCCAGGCCTTTTTCTATAGTACCTACTTAGCTTAGACAGGGTTCCAGGCTGATCGCCACAGCGACGCCAAATTAAACTGTTGTGACATCATCTTAAATGTAACAATCTGTGAATCCTTTTGTTGGCATCAAAACAGAGAAACATATGCACTTTGTTAATTGTACAACCTACTTTTAGCAAGATACAATTGATAAAAATCTTCACAGAGTAAAGAAAAATGGTGGTTGCTACCGGTAGCTGGGCTATCCAAGAATGCAGCTTTTTGTCACACTAGTGTTCATTGTTTCTAAACAATTACTGTAGTTGTCTGCTGTTTTTTAAAACCACCTTATAGTATCTTGTGAATCTGAAAACCTCCACAAGGTGGTATCAAAAAAGTAGCCATCTTTAACTTTCGCAAATGAAAAAAAAAGAAAAAGAAAAGAGCAGATTGAGTTAAGTACCATGCAATGAAAATGCAGCATTAGCTTGGCACGAAGACTGAAACCATTTTAATTGTACAAATTTGTAGGCTATGTCTTATTTGATCTGTACACAGAAGTAGGAACCAAATAAGTCACTGCGCCCAGCTGCTAGCTCGTCAAGAAGTGGTAACACCACATAACTCCATTTAAAAACTCAACTTCTCATCTTTCTATCTTTTCTTGTAAAATGTTAAAATTCATTTAACATAACAGGTTTTTGACTGAATTAGGCTAGCTGCTAACAGTTTTAATGCTAAGCTAACCACCTACTTGCGAGGCTACAGTACAAGAGTGATACCTATCTTGTGGTGTTATCATCTATACTGACTCTCTGCAAGAAGTAGCATAATGTTTATTTCCCAAAATCTCCAACTATTTTATCAAGCAATACAAATGCAGGACAACTTGTTACCATGTTTAGCTTCACTTGCACATTGGAGCAATGATGCCTAGAACATTTTGACAGAAGTCCTTACTTGAGCTCCATTAAGTTTCAGCAGTATCTCCAAAGTTATTTGACCTTACAGAAGTAAAAGTTATTGTTGGTATTCTGTTGCTGACATGCAGAATGAAGTCAGACCTGACGTTAAGGGAGTGGTAATAGATGAAGGCTCTAACCAGTCCACCAGGTCCATCAGGTTCCAATTTCTTGGTGGGAATAAAGAGTTTAGCTTGGAAATGATCATATTAATTTCACTGCCTGATTAGAATAAAGGAAATAGAGTTAGACTAAGCGTTTGCTAAAGGTGGCTCTTGGGTTTGGGTGGTTGCCTGTCTTAAAAAGAGAATTGTGCAAAACACAAAAAAGCTTTCATGTCTATAATGAGACTGATATGAGTTAGCAGCAGCAGCTAGCCGTCTAAACTCTCCATCTCTCTGTGGGAAAGGAAAGAGGTTTCTTGGAGATTCCGGGGGAGTGTTGTGCATTCCTATTGGCTGACACACCAGCTTGCACAAGGTGCCGGCTGCTGCCACGTTCTTTGAGGGAAAAGGTCAGCCTGCTATCGCTCTCTGTCAGCGGGTGGGAAAACAGACACAGCAACACCAGATATGGACCTAAGAAGAAAATACAATAATGCACTGCAGTGCGATGGAGACTTTATCCATATGTATGGGGTGGGCTGTTACTTGGAGAGGTTCCAGTTCACCTCCTTGGCCCTGCCGTGGCGCCCTTGAGCAAGGCATCAGACAACCCCCTTCCACCCCACTCCCATTGCTCCCCGGGCGCTGTACAATAGCTGCCCACTGCTCCTATAGTACTAGGATGGGTTAAATGCAGAGGCCATATTTCACTGTGTGTTCTGTGTGCTCTGCATGTGTGACCATTAAAGAGGGTTGCATCCCTCCGATTCTATCTATCCATGTAGTAGCGGAAAACACACATATAGATCAATGAGGTGGTGCAAACACGTGCATGTCACTGACCTGTGAATCATGTAACGGTTTCTACAGTGGGGTTTTTTGTATGTCTTTCAATGTCTGTCAGATTATACAACAAAAACTACAACTGGAACATATTTGACCAACTTTTAATGTAATTAAATAGAGCTAAATATAATTGAAATTAAATAGAATTAAATAGAACACAGTGTAATAATGCCCCATTTAATTCCCTACAATACACTACAATAATTCCCTCTTTGAATAATGCTCCAGTTTGCCATATAAGATATGAAACCTCCTTTCACAATAACCACCATGTTTGCCAAAGTGTTGCAAGTAGCAACAATGATAATTCAAAGGCAGGGTGGGTACAAAGAGACCAACAGTTGAGGAGTGTGAGTACGATGAGAAATGTGATTACCCAGCCTTCAATGTAATTAAAGTGTTCCACCTTTGCACTTTGTCTTACTTCTCATCCCTAACTGTGTGTCTTAACAAATATTTGTCATAACCTCCCGGCCCACATGCATTCCCATTAGCCCCTCCCTACCACACTGACTCACTGTCTTCCCGTAAAGACACTGCCTCACACACTTCCTCATTCCTGAAAAACCAATAAAGAACACTGATGTGGCAACACTCTAGCTTCTGCTTGCTAGAACTGGCTTAGGTGTGTGTTTGTAGATTACATACTTGAAGTGATTACTATACACTGCATTTGTTAACCCTGTTGTTGTGGATTGTCAGTGGCAGGTGATTGATTCCGAAATGATTGATGATTTCTAATGCTGCATGAATGAGGCAGGTGCAGTGAGCTATGAACCATCATTTCTGTTTGGATTGGGCAAGGGTTAGAGGAAAGACACAATGAGGCGGCAATACAAAATTGTAAAAAAAATAGCTAAACAACATGAGGTAGGCATGAGAGGCAAGTCTGACACAAATTGTTTGCTCTTGTGTTTATGAATTAAGAAGTGAGTTCACACATTTTCTTAATTTAATTTGAGCCTTTGCAAACCATTTACATGCACAAAAACCTGTATAACACACCACGGGAAAGTGTCAAACACCCAAAATCATAATATCCTCTTTAAGAACAGGTAGAAAAGAGGTTTTGCCTTAATTGTTTTGTTTCCATATTAAGGCAAGTATTTTTTAAAGTGGTTACAATATCATTTCAGCAAATTACTTTTGTTAAGAGAATACGGTACATTAAAATGCACCTGGAAGAAAATATGTTTGCTTTTAGTGTAACTTAGGGTAATGTTGCAT